ATTTATTTTTTCAGATGTAGGTTCTTTTTCTTGTACTTTATTGCTTCTAGTTTATAGCGACGACTTTTCCAGGGGACACGTGCAGCTAAATTGTAAAATGCCTTATTTTACAGCCTTAGATATTTTTTCTTCTTGGACCTTTTTCTATGCACTACACTTGAGAAGAATTTGATATCTGATAGATATGGATTATATATTACGCGGTGGTGTTGGATTCTATCTGTTTGTTGTGGTTTCGTACGTTCAATTAGGGATATATGCACTTGTTTAATTTGCTTGAGTTTGAGCCTTTGAGGTCCCAAGTGGGATAGTTCTACAGCTAAGAGGAGGTTACAATGCAAACTGTTGTATCACGAATTCAAAATCCAGCTAGTGATGTTCACTGTTACTTGAATTTAATTTTTCTAAAACTTCGAGTTATATCAAAGATTTGGAGCTACTTTTTCGTTTCTATTTTTCTTTGGCGCATTGAGAAACTTTCGTTACAAATTGTTAGTAAATGATAATTTTTCAATTTCCGTTGCATGTACTAGCCCTCTCTGCCATACCAGTAGCTTTAGTATTATTCTCGTATTTTCTTACCAGTAGATTTCTGTTATTGGATGTTGTTTCTTTTGTTTCTTTTATCTTATTATCTTCTTGTTGATATTTGATAATGCTTCTCTTTGATAGCTTTTTCACTGCTGTGTTTCTTTTTAAAACTGTTATGATTGTGCTTTGCTTGAGACAACTTCTTAACCTTCACAAGATAAGAGTAAAGCTGTGTATACACTATCCTCCCCAGATCCCATTTGTGTGATTACACTGGTTTGTTGTTCTTTGTTGTTAGCCTTATAGATCGCCGAACGCTCAAACTACAAAAAAACGAACAAAGGTGGTTTAATAAAAACTGCAAGAGTAATTGGATTTATCAGCTTTGTTATGGTTTTACTTTTTAACAGATTAATTTATTTGGTTTGGTTCGAATAAATGCTTAATCGAATTGAGGAGACTGTTAATTAATGTACAATCATAATCTATATCTATATCTATATATTATATAACTATATTAAAAGCACGAAGGCCTTTAGCGAAATGTCGTTCGCTTTTTTTACCCTTTTAAAATAGAGTTCACACTGGACAAAATAGTCATTTAATTATTGTTCTATATTTAGGAATTGCCATTTAATTAATTTCCTACTATTTAGGAGCAATCATTTAATTATTAATCTAATACTTAAAACTTTTATTTTTCAGTTAAACACTTTTAACTTCAACTAAAACTTGGAAAGTTTTTGTTATTCAACTCAAACTAAAAATTTCGTCTTTCAACTAACTTAGGAAAGTTTTATTCACTTTCAAAGGAAAATATCATAGGAATTTTTTAAACTGACAGATTAATTCTTCAAAAAATATTAGGTAAAAACGTGCAATTTGATTTTCTTTTTGGTTTAGGAGTCTTTATTTTCCAATAAATCATTAAATTATACATAATTTTATTTTATATAAATCCTTTCATGTTTCAAATTATATACCAAAAATTTCTATAAAAGAGCTACAATTCTACATTTTCATCATCAAAACTTTACCTTGTTCGAGCAACAACTATAAATTAAGGACTTTCAGGTTCTTCTTTGAGCAGTCTTTTATAGCAGTTGAATTTTACCTTCACGCATTTATATTAGTAGTTGAATTTTGTATTTACATATTTATATTAATAATCAAATTTTGCATTCACGTATTCAACAAGTACATTTTTATTTTGGTATTCTTAATTGTGAACCTTGAATGAACATGAGCCTGTTTGGCCCAAATCTCAATTTTTTTTAGTTGTTTTATAATTTTTAGAATAATACTTATATATTAAAGAAATAGAATAATTCACATGTTGCTTGCGAGAAAAAAAGTTCTTTTGTCAGTTAGATGATCCTTCGTATGTTTTCTAGTATGAACTTAAGAATATATATTTCTCAAAAAGATTTAAAAAAAAAAACTCTGAAATCTTCGAGAGTTTATTGTAAGCATAAACACTAATTCATACCAGGATCTTGAACATAATAATCTTATATAAAATTGTTACATAAAACATACCAAAAGCGAAAGTCATTATCGTGAAGCGGAAATATTAATCGGTAAAGTGGTTTCTCGCCCCTTGCCCTAACTTTACGTTACCGCCGTCTTTAGTGATGGAAGAAAGAAATAAAATACGGTAACCCTAATATGTGAGGAGATGACCAATTTATAGAGGTTCTCACTTAATCTGGTACGTCCATCAAGTAACCGATCAGACGAATGAGATTTAATTATTAATTAAATATTAATTATGGGCCTTAAACCTATTGGGCCACATATGCGTAAGAAAAAATAATTTACATTCTCCCACTTGACCCAATAATCACATAATATTAATATTTAATAATATAACCATTAGTTGCGAATAAATAAATCTCTTCTATAACGTCTATCATAAATACCATAATACGATAAACTACTAAATGTGAGTTAAGACGATTATATATAATTTATCTACATACTCTCTTCCATATACTACAACATTAGTAACTTATCGTACCAGGTCCATAAGTTATAAAATATTATGATCCACAATAATATCTCATTGAGACTTATCATGTAATATCTCAAAACAATAATGTGTACACCATTATGAGAAACAGGAAATTACTAATGTATATCAGAAACGCATAAATGAGCTCAGAGTGTCAAAACATCATAAATACATCAATCATAAATACATCGAAGACCCATTCTATGTACATATTCTTTAAATATTTTGGTTGTAAACCTTTCGTTAACTAATCTGTAGTCATGAGATCTGTTCTAATATGCTCAAGTGACACTCTTTGTTTCTGAACTTCCTCCTTGACGGTAAAATACTTTAATTCCATATGTTTGGCACCTTTGGAGTACTTATCGTTCTTGGAGAAGAATACTGCTGCAGTATTATCACACTAAATTTTCAGCGGCTTGGTAATGATGTCGACAACCCCAAGTCTTGAAATAAAGTTTCGCAGCCATAATGCATGAATTGTGGCTTCAAAACATGCCACAAATTCTACTTTCATCATGGATGTAGCAATGATAGACTGTTTGGCATTCTTCCATGATATTGCTCCTTCAACAAATTGGAACAAATAACCAAACGTAGACTTTCTAGTGTCAATACATCCAGCGAAATCTGAATCCGAGTATCCAACAACTTCCAAAAGGCTTGAATCTCTTATACATGAGCATGTAATCCTTCATTCCTTTCAGGTACCTCAAGATTTTCTTTGCAGCTTTCCAGTGATCTTCAACTAACTTAGGAAACTTTTATTCATTTTCAAAGGAAAATATCATAGGAATTTTTTTAACTAACAAATTAATTCCTCAAAAAATATTAGGTAAAAACGTGCAATTTGATTTTCTTTCTGGTTTAGGAGTCTTTATTTTCTAATAAATTATTAAATTATACATAATTTTATTTTATATAAATCCTTTCATGTTTCAAATTATATACCAAAAATTTCTATAAAAGTGCTATAATTCTACGTTTTCATCATCAATTTTTTGCCTTGTTCGATCAACAACTATAAATTAAGGACTTTCAGGTTCTTCTTTGAGCATGTTTTTATAGTAGTTGAATTTTACATTCACGCGCTTATATTAGTAGTTGAATTTTGCATTTACATATTTATATTAATAGTTAAATTTTGCATTCACATATTCAACAAATACATTTTTATTTTGGTATTCTTAATTGTGAACGTTGAATGAACATGAGCCTGTTTGGCCAAAATCTCAACTTTTTTGAGTTGTTTTATAATTTTTATAATAATTCTCATGTATTAAAGAAATAGAATAATTTACATTTTATTGTGAGAAAAAAAGTTCTTTTGTCAGTTAGATGATCCTTCGTATGTTTTCTAGAATGAACTTAAGAATATATATTTCTCCAAAAGATTTCAAAAAAAAAAAAACTCTGAAATCTTCGAAAGTTTATTGTAAGCATAAACACTAATTCATACCAGGATCTTGAACATGATAATCTTACATAAAATTATTACAGAAAACATACCTGAAGCGGAAGCATTAATCGGTAAATTGGTTTCTCGACCATTGCCCTAACTGTATGTTACCGCCGTTTTTAGTGATGGAAGAAAGAAATAAAATACGATAACCTTAATGGGTGGGGAGAGGACCAATTTATAGAGGTTCTCACTTAATCCGGTACGTCCATCAAGTAACCGATCGGACAAATGAGATTTAATCATTAATTAAATATTAATTATGGGCCTTAAACCTATTGGGCCATATACGCGTAAGAAAAAATAACTTACATTCTCCCACTTGGCCCAATAATCACATAATATTAATATTTAATAATATAATCATTAGTTGCACATAAATAAATCTCTTCTATAACGTCCATCATAAATACCATAAAACGATAAACTACTAAACGTGAGTTATGACGGTTATATATAATTTATCTACATACTCTCTTTCATTTACTACAACATTAGTAACTTATCGTACCAGGTCCATAAGCTATAAAAATATCTCATTGAGACTTATCCTGAAATATCTCAAAATAATAATGTGTACACCATTATGAGAAATAGGAAATCACTAATGTATATCATAAACGCATAAATGAGCTCAGAGTGTCAATACATCATAAATACATCAATCATAAATACAACCAAGACCCATTCTATGTACATGTTCTTTAAATATTTTTGGTTGTAAACCTTTCATTAACGGATCTACAATCATGAGATCTGTTCTAATATGCTCAAGTGACATTCTTTGTTTCTGAACTTTCTCCTTGACGGTAAAGTACTTTAATTCCATATGTTTGGCACCTTTGGAGTACTTATCGTTCTTGGAGAAGAATACTGCTGCAGTATTATCACAGTAAATTTTCAGCAGCTTGGTAATGATGTCGACAACCCCAAGTCTTGAAATAAAGTTTCGCAGCCATAATGCATGAATTATGGCTTCAAAACATGCCATAAATTCTACTTCCATCGTGGATGTAGCAATGATAGACTGTTTGGCACTCTCCATGATATTGCTCCTTCAGCAAATTGGAACAAATAACCAAACGTAGACTTTCTAGTGTCAATATATCCAGTGAAATCTGAATCCGAGTATCCAACAACTTCCAAAAGTTTGGATCTCCTATAAATGAGCATGTAATCCTTCATTTCTTTCAGGTACCTCAAGACTTTCTTTGCAGCTTTCCAATGATCAATCCCTGGGTTACTCTGATATCTTCCCAGCATTCCGACCGCAAAACTAATATCGGGTCTTGTGCGTATCTGAGCATACATCAGACTACCAACAATAGAAGATTAAAGAATTGATTCTATTTTTTTTGTTCTACATCATTCTCAAGGAATTGCATGAGACTAAATTTGTCCCCGTTTGAATTGGAACAATTTCTACTGAACAATTGTTCATGTTAAATCTCTCTAGGACTCTTTCGATATAGCCTTTTTGAGACAATCCAAATAATCTTTATGATATATCACAGAATATTTCTATTCCTATCACATAGCATGTCTCACCCATATCTTTCATTTCAAAATTTTTAGAGAGAAAGTCTTTAGTCTCACGCAATATGCCTAAATCATTAGTAGCAAGTAGAATATCATCAACATATAGGACTAAAAATATAAACTTGCTCCCACTGATCTTTTGGTATATACACTGATCAACAGTATTTTCACAAATCCAAAAGATGTTATGGTATCATTAAACTTTATATACCATTGTCGTGAGGCTTGTTTAAGTCCATATATTGACTTCTTTAGTTTACACACCATTTGACCTTTTCCTTTAGTTTCGAAACCCTCTGGTTGGTCCATATAAACTTTCTCCTCGAGATGTCCATTAAGAAAGATAGTTTTCACATCCATTTAGTGTAACTCTAAATCATAATTAGAGCAACCAAAGCCATAATAATTCTTAACGAGTCTTTCTTTGAGACCAGTGAAAATGTCTCTTTATAATCAATGCCTCCTTTCTAAGTATAATCCTTGGCAATAAGTCTGGCTTTGTATCATTAAATATTGCCATTTGAATCGTATTTGGTCTTAAAGACCCATCTACACCCGATTTTTTTAAAACTTTCTGGCAATTCAACAAGATCCCAGACTTTATTGTATTCCATGGATTTTAAATCTTCCTTCATGGCATCAATCCATTTTTCAGACTCATTACTTTCTATGGCTTGTGAAAATGAAACTGGATCCTTATTAAGAGCAATGTCAAAATCTGACTCTTGCAAATAAACCACATAATCATCCGAAATAGCTGATTTTCTAACTCTTTGAGATTTTCTTAATGGCATTTCTTGTGGTTCATTTGTGTTAGATATTTGTGAGTTAGTTTCTTCATGAAGTATTTCATCCAAATGTTTCCCAGTGTTGTCAAAGTATTCTTCAACAACTAGAACAATATTTGGTATTTGTGTGGAAGTAGAAACATTCATGGGTAATAGAATATTGACCCTCACTTCTTTTATTTCCACACTTCACTTTTCAACACTCCCACTAACTTCACCATTCTCAATGAATCTTGTATTACCAGTTTCAATAATTCTCGAACTATGGTTTGGACAATAAAACACATACCCTTTAGATTTCTCTAGGTAACCAATAAAGTACCCCCTTACTGTTCAATAATCTAATTTCTTTTCTTGTGGATTATAAACTCTATCTTCCGCTGGGCAATCCTGCCACAACCCTAAACCCGGACCCAGTCGTCATGACACCTCTCGTGAAGACAAAGTCAACCGATAGACTCCAAATTCATTTTTAAGCGATTAAATAATAAGAACTGAGTCTTTAACATAATAATAATAATAATAATCCCAAAATAAGGTGAATAATACAGTTGCAGAATAGACATAACCCGACATCGGGGTGTCACCAGTCATAAACATCTATCATAAAAACTACAAGTCTGAAAGAGTCTACTCAACTATTACATAACTAAAATAGAAGGAAATAAGATAGAGGGAGAAGCACTAGGCTACGAATGCCGGCAGCTACCTAGTAAACCTCCGGAATCTGCAAGAAGCTCTCTCAACCCTCGCGAGTAGGACCTGACGCGCCTGAATTTACACATGGGGTGCAGGGAGTAAAGTGAGTACTCCAACTTAGTGAGTAATAATAATAAATGCAGACTGAGCAGTAAGAAATCACGTAAAGGCACATCAACAGGCTATAAAGAAGCCGTAAAACCAGTAAAAACAATGAAACGGTGAAAATATGTAAAGTCACTTTAGTTAAGTTTAAGCTTCTTTAAAATACTCTTTTAACAGTTAAGCAAGTAAATGACAGACAGCTAGAAAAGATAAACACATAAAGAACCGCCCCTCGGACACAATACCAACAGAATCAGCCCCTCGGGCAATAAATGGAACAATACCAGCCCCTCGGGCTATATCTCACATCACAATGGGTACTCGCGCTCACTGGGGGTGTGCAGACTCCTAGAGGGGCCCCGTATGGCCCAAGTGCAATATCAAGTCATCTCGTGGCGTACAAATCTTAGGCCCTCGGCCTCATAATCATAATCAGTGTTTCCTCACAATATAGGCCCTCGGCCTTACTCAGTCAGAATCTAATAAGCCACTCGGGCAACAGTAAAACATGATGTTCAGCCCAAAATATCATTTAATATATCATTTTAGTGTTAAAATAGAGTAAACATGACTGAGTTATGAAAACAGTAGAATATAGCATGATTGAGTACAAGTATAAAGTTAAAATAGTGAGAAAATATTAGTAAAAATCCCCTAAGGGTTCAAATAGTTGGCACGAGGCCCAAATATGGCACTCAGCCTAAAACATTATGATAACAAACAATTTTAAATCAAATACGCAGTAAAACAGCCATTCGGGATGGACTAAGTCACAATTCCCAACGGTGCCCGACCCCGCGCTCGTCGTCTAGCATGTGCGTCACCTCAATGTAGCACAACGATGTGCAATCCGGGGTTTCATACCCTCAGAACAACATTTACAACTATTATTCACCTCTACCCGGTCCAAATCTCTAGCTCACGATGTCTTTGCCCCTCGAATCGGCCTCCGGATGCTCCAAATCTAACCAAAATTAGTGCAAAACCATCAAAATATGCTAAGGGAACAAATCCCACTCGAAGAAATCAAATTACAACACAAATCCCGAAATTGGCCAAACCCAACCCCTAGGCCCACGTCTCGGATTTCGATAAAAATTACATCAATGAACTCATTATCACTCCCCGAGTTCATTCATACTAAAAGCATCAAAATCCAACCACAAACGGCCCCTCAAATCCCAAATTCCAGGTCTCCAATTACAAGCCCTAGTTCTTCAATATTAGGCTTAAATTCCATGATTAATTAGGTAGAATTCACATAAGAATTGAGTATTAAGTCCATAAATTTTACCTCCAAGTGTTTCCCCTTGAATCCCTCTTCAATCCTCTTCAAAAAGCTCCAAAATCGCTCAAAAATGGTGGAAGTTAACCCCAAAATCGCGGACCAAATAGCTATTTAAACATTCTACCCAGGCATCCAATCCTTCTTCGCGAAGGCGGTCAACGCCTCACGTTCGCGAAGCACAAACTTACTTTGACCAAAATTCCTTCATCACGATCATGACACCCAGCTTGCGAACACAAAGGTTTAGCGCCCTTACTCAAACGTGACTACCATTTCACGAACGCGAAGGACAATTCCACCTGAACCCCAGCTGCTCATCCTCTACGCGAATGCGTCTGATACCTAGCGAACGTGATACACAAGACCCAACCCTTTGCGAACGCGAAGGTTAAATCCTCAGCCTCACCTGCTAACCCTCCGCAAATGCGAGGGCCTACTCACGAATGCGAACGTCATTTGTCTGCAACACTGAACATCAGTTTTCTTCATTTTTCCAAAACATGAAATAGTCCGATTGACCATCCAAAACTCACCCGAGGCCCTCGGAACCTTAACCAAACATGCCAACATATCTCATAACATTATTCAAACTTGTTCCAACCTTTGGAATGCTCTAAACAACATCAAAATACCAAATTCGCATCAGATTCAAGCCTAAGAATTCCAAAATCTTCTAAATTACGCTTTTGATAAAAAACCCAACCAAACCACGTCTGAATGACTTGAAATTTTGCACACATATCCCAAATGACACAACAGAACTACTTCAACTCCAGGAATTCCATTCCGACCCCTATATCAAAATATCACCTATCAACCGGAAAATGCCAAAAATCCAATTTCGCCAATTCAAGCCTAAATCTACTCTGGACCTCCAAAATACATTCCGATCACGCTCCTAAGTCCCAAATCACCTCCCGAAGCTATCCTAATCATCGGAACTCACATATGAGACCTCTAACACATAAGTCAACATCCAGTTGACTTTTCCAACTTAAGCTTCTCAAAAGAGACTAAGTGTCTCAAACCTTACCAAAACCTCTCCGAAGCCGAGCCAACCGAACCGATCACACATAGAACCAATAAATCAAGAAATAAGAAGCAGAAATGGGGGAAACAGAGTGGTAACTCTTGAGACGACTGGCCAGGTCGTCATAAATCCCAAACATACAGGTGCCTTAAACTAGGTTTCCTTCCTGTCCACAGTTCAAAAGGGGTCTTTGGAACTGCCTTACTAGGAACCCTGTTTAATAGATATATAACGGTTTTAAGAGCATACATCCAAAATGATTTGGGTAATGAGGAATTACTCATCATGCTCTTAACCATATCCATAAGTGTTCGATTACGCCTTTCTGCAACACCATTTTGTTGAGGTGTTTCTGGCATAATATATTGTGCACATATGCCATATTCCTCGAGGAACTTTGTAAATGGACCCGAACATTGTCCTGATTCATTATACTTTCCATAATATTCACTACCTCTATCTGACCTAATGATTTTCACCTTTTTATCTAATTGCCTTTCAACCTCATTAACAAACATTTTGAGAATATCTGTTGTTTGAGATTTTTTTTCCCAGCAAATAGATGTATCCATAACGTGAAAAGTCATCGATATATTCGACAAAATATTTTTCTCCACCAAAAGATGGAACATCAAAAGGTTCACAAATATCGGTGTGTCTTATTTCAAGAAGCTGGGTGCTTCTTGTAGCACCTTTCTTACTATTTTTGGTTTGGTTTCCCTTAATGCACTCTAAACATATAGTAAGATCAACAAAATTTAGATTCAGAATAATCTCATTCTTTACTAATCTTTCTAACCTTTCCTTGGATACATGACCCAAACGTTTATGCCACAATTAAGCAGAACTTTCATCTAGTGAACTACGTTTAATTCTAACATTATGTTGAATAGTAAAAAAGGATTCATAAAAAACAATATCGAGTTTCAACTTATAAACCATCACAAAGAAATCCATAACCATAAAAATAACATTCTTATATAAATTGAAACATCCATTTCCAAACTTTAAATCAAATTCGGAAATATCAAGTTTTGAAAGAGAAATCAATTTCCTAGAAACTGAAGGTACATACAGAGCCTGTAATAGATCAAGGTGACGTCCAGTCTCCATGACCAAACGATAAGTCCCTATTAATAGGTTACAAGTACCTTGGGCACAAGTACTTTACTTTATATTTTGGTGATCTAACAAACTTACCACCCAGAATCAGATAAGGAACCTGTTACACATTTACAAGACCGTGAGATCACAAAGTTCTAGGTTGGGATCCAGCGTGGGATATAATTCAACTCTTCAGAGTGGAAGGAGCATCTGAGGGAATAGGTCCCTACCAGTTCCCGAGGAGACTGTATGAAGTTAACTCTCCAGCAGGAAAGTTGTTGCCTGCACACGCTACTGCACAGGAACAATGCAACAGTCAACTTTCGATGAAAGGCTTTTTACGTACCTTGCTTACATCATTGTAAGTGATGTCACACAAGTATAAATACAATCAAAGAAGGTAAAATAACTTACTTCATGAGAGAACAAGATAAAGGACCTGAAGCATGCCTGGTACAATCATTCAAGTTAATCGACTCAAGATAATTTGGGCAGTGTGCTTTTAGACTCACAAAAACCAGATTAGGGACATGATCCATTGGTGTTCCCCTAACAGAAGTATAAGTCAACTATGCAGTTGGAAAGCAACTACAGAAAGTGACTGCCTGCAACTGTACACGCAATAGTACATCAGACAGTGCATCAGTCACTTCCTATTGGGAAAAGGCATGTACTAATCAAGATTTGACATCTCCATTGTGATGTCTTTTGTAGTATAAACCTGGTGCAAGGCACAAGACATTCTTAAGACTTGCAAAATCAGGAAAGAAAATATCCTCTTAAGTCCAAGAATAACCTCTCTCAAGAATAAGGTTGCTGCAACCTCAAGGACCGGATCCAAGATTGAAGATATCTTAAGTCCTTAGGTTTGTTGAGTCTTTGTTATTTGTTCTTAATTTGTAACTCCCATCTCGCTTTCTT